GAAAATTGTTAAGTTTTTCTTCATTGTAAGAAAAATTAGAAAGCAAAGGTGAAAGAGATTGTAATCTTGTACTCTTACTACCGTTAGCCAAAACCAGTCACTAATATTTCAGTTCTCATTTAGCCATGTTTTCTGAGCAACTTTATCAGTATTTTATTTAAATGTTATACTACAAATATCTTAGAAACTTCTTTTAAGCCTATGTCAACATATAAAAATCTTCAAAAATCAATTTTTGAAGTTGTTTAGTACTATATTGTATGGGTATACAGTACATATCTATAGTTTACCATAATTGAATTTCCAATCTACAATTGTTGGACATTTCCCTTGTTTTAAATATTTTATTGTTATAAACAAGCCTGTGAAGCATATCCGTGTGAGTGTGAGTGTGTGTGTGTGTGTTCAATTATTTCTTTAGGCTAATTAATGATCAAAGGGTGGTGCTCATATGTTGGTGGTGGGGGGGTTGTCTTTTTTTGAGTTAGGGTCTCCCTGTAGCCCCAGCTGATCTGGAACTCACTATGTAGACCAGACTGGCCTTGAACTCTCAGAGATCCACCTGACCCTGCCTCCCCAGTGCTGGGACTAACGGCGTGTGCCACCATGCCCAGCTGCTGCTAATACAGTTTTAAAGCTTCATCTATTGCCCAATGTTCTCCAAAAACCTTTGTATCAATTGTTTTTCTATTTGGTTTGGTTTGGTTTTCTGAGATGGAGTCTTACTAGAGACCCTAGGCTGACCTGGAACTCACTATGTAAACCACAGTGGGCCCAAACTCATGATCATCCAGCCTCAGCCAACCAAGTGCTACAATAATAGGCATGGCACTATGCCCCGCTGTTTGTCTTTTGGTCTCAGTTACATCTTTGAGTAGATACTCATTTTCCTCACTCTTAATTTTAAATGTAGATAATCTTGTGATTATTATTATTTTTTGAGAATCATCTCGCTGTATATATAGCCCAGACTGCATCAGAGCTTGCAACCCTACTGCTTCCAGAATGCTAAGATTACAGGCACACATCTCAATGCTGGATTTCATCTTTTTTATTTTATTTATTTATTTATTTTATTGTATTCTGTAATACTTTACATAGTTGAAGAACTAATTAAAATACATATTCATCAGGTTTTTTAAAAGGAATACAAGAGGGAAATAATGTTTGGGTCTTTTCAAAACCAAATGTATTTGGATATTTCATTAAACTAAGAAAAAATTCTGTCTTGAGAAACTAGGGCTTTAATAACAGCATTTGGAAATAATACTCTTTTAGGAGTCACAGTTCAAATAAGTTGTGTTTTCTTTGTTTCTTGATACTACAGATTTCAAAATAGTGGAGGAGGCATGTAACTTCTCACATGGATTAGACAGCAAGAGACTAATCTAAGCATATAAACTAAAAATAGAAAATGAATGCACTAAGGTATTGTATTATTGAACTGAAGAACAGATAAATTGTCAAGAACTTCCTAGAAGGCACAAAAAACAGAAGATTGGTCTTCTTCATCATTCTCAAAAATTCTTCCTCATTTGTTTCCCCATCCCCGTTACGATCAGCTTTATCGAGCATTTCCTGCAGCTCATCCTCTCTTAAATTTTCCCCTAGCTCCTTGGCAACACTTTTGATGTTATTTAGTGATTTGCTTCCAGTGGCATCATCATCAAATAATTTGAAAGCCTTCAATATTTCCTCTTTCTCGTCTTTTTCATTCGTTTTTACACCCACAAGGGCAAAAAGAAACCTTCAAAAGAAATGGCACCCCTGCCTTCTTTGTCCATTTCCACTGTCGTTTGCTTAGCTGCTTCTTTCTTTGGCTCAAATCCTAAGGCTGCAGTGCAGTCTTTGATTCTTTCCCTCTGTGGTCCCAGATTCATCAGCATCAAGTAAGTTAAAGGCCTCTTTAATTTCTTGCTTTTAAGCTTTATTCAATTCAGTGTTTGCTGCTTTTTTCTTCCATTGGTCTAAGCTCATGAGATGGCTGGATGCCATGTCCCCAGTCCCACATCTGGTGCAGGCAGCCACCACCCAACGGCTGCTGGCCTCACCACAGTGCACAGTCAGAGCCATTGCTAGATATTGTCTTTATTTTTGACACTTTCATACATGTGTTCAATATATTATGATCATATTCATCCCCCATTACCTTCTCTTATCCTCCCACTCCTGATGACCTCCTTCCTAACTAGTCCTTCTCTACTTTCATGTCTTTTTTTTTTCTTGCAGGGGGTGGTGAAGGTCTTATACAATGTACTACAATAAGTTGCTTTCAATTCATGCATAGCTGCTGGTAATTTTCTGTTTCAAGGCTCATCATAAAGTTCCCCATCCTTGTTCTACATCTTTCTTTGTTTCAATCTCTGTCACTTTGGTCTTTTGACCAGTATCCCTGCATACCCCATCCCACATTCCATTAGCACATTTCAGAGGCTTTATATCTGCACCAATCTTAGGTGCTAGCCTCAAATTATGAGCTCTACTATAATGATTGCTTTTTGCCACGATTTCTATCATCATCCTCATCAATCATAGCAGTCATCCATGCCTATGGATGCTTCCAAAGGAATTGATGTTTGTTACTAGGCAGGGTCCCATGTAGCTCATTCTGGCCTTAAGCTCACTTTGTGAGGACGGTCAAGAATTCTTAATCCTCCTGTCTCCAACTCCCAGGTGCTGGGATTACAGGCATGTAACATCACATCAGGCTCCAGAGAAATTTCTTACACATTAACTCATAACCATCCTCTGAATGAAACTGGATACACGTGAATCTAGGCTTCAGAGTCAGACAAGCATGTGTTGAAATCCTGAACCTGGTTGGGGGTGTAACTCAGTTGGTAGAGTGCTTAGTATGCACAAAGTCCTAGGTTCAATCCCCAGCACTGCATAAAACAGGAATGGTGGTGCACACTCAGAAGTTTGATGCCACCGTAGGCTACGTGAGACCCTGTCTCAAAAAAAGAAAGAAAATAGGGGGCTGGAGAGATGGCTCAGTGGCTAAAAGCACTGGTTGCTCTTGCAGAGGGCCCAGGGTCCATTTTCAGCACCCACATGGCAGCTAACAGTCTGTAACACCAGTTTCAGGGAATTGATACCTTCTTCTGACCTCTGAGGGCATTGTAGGACATGGGTGCACTTATATACATGCAGACAATACATTCATACATATAAAATAAAAATAAATGATTTTTTAAAGAGAATGAAAAGGGGGCTGGAGAGATGGCTCAGCGGTTAGGAGCACCCACACGGCAGCTACGCACCGCACCGTCCTTAAGTCCAGTTCCAGGGGAATCCGAAGCCCTCTTCTGACCTCCGCAGCATTGCACAACACGAGTGCACTCGCATACATGCGGGCAATACACTCATTCACATAAAATTTGAAAAAAAAAAGAATGAGGCCGGGCGTGGTGGCTCACGCCTTTAATCCCAGCACTCGGGAGGTAGAGGCAGGCGGATCTCTGTGAGTTCAGGCCAGCCTGGTCTACATAGTGACTTCCAGGACAGCTGGGGCTACGGGGAGACCGTGTCTCGAAAAGACCAAAAAAAAAAAAAAAAAAAAAAGAATGAAAAGGAAAAAAGTCCTGAATCACTGGATTATTGTGAGGTCTAAATAATATATTTATGGCTCACAGTGCAGTACTATTTGTGTGCTGGGGGTATGTGTGTGTTGTATGTGGGGGTGTATGGTGCATAAATGTGACTGTGCAGATGTGCACACCCAAGCATGCACTGACAGAGGCCAGAGAAGGCCTTTGGGTATCTTCCTCTACTGCTCTCCATCTTATTCTCATTAAGATAACAGCCTCTCACTGAACTACGAGTTCATCATTTTGGCTGGACTGGCTTGCCAGTGAGCTTCTGCAATGTGCTTGTCCCTTCCCCACAATGCTAGTGGTATAGGCATGTGCAGCTATGCCCAGATTTTTATGTGGGTACTGGAGACTCCAAAAGGTCCTCATGCTTGTAGAGCAAGTACTCTTACCCACTAGTCATTTCCCCAGTTCCAGTCCTATTTTTCGCAAGTATAACAGGCCCAAAGAATTCTAAGGATTTGTACAAGTCCTATTCAAGTCCAGGTATCCTGACCCTAAATCTTTTTATAATGTATTATTGTGTGTTTGTGTATGCACATGTGTACATAATATGTGGGTGGGTGCAGGTGTGGGTGTGCGACGGTGCATGAGTAGAGATCAGAGGACAACTTCAGGCTGTCAGTTCTCCCCTTCCACCTTGTTAAGGCAAGTTCTCTCTTGTTTCTGCCACTCTATCTATTCTGGCTAGATGACCTAAGAGCTTCTGGCTGATTCTCCTATCTCTGACTCCCATCTCGCCATAAGAGTTCTGGGATTACAGTGCAAGCCACTGCATCCAGCTTTCTCTGGATTCTAGGATTCAAGTCACGTCACCAGGCTTGCGTGGCAAGCACTTTTACCTGCTGAGCTATCTTGCTGGTGTCTGACCTTAAATCTTATTAACTCTCTTTTTAACTATTAACTATTTCAGGCACCAAGAATTATAGTCACCACCTAGCTTTGAAAACACAACAGAAAAACTGAAACCTCTTGTGTCCCTCTCTGATTCTACTTCCCTCCCTTCCCCCTTCTTTCACTCCCTTCTTCTCTTTTGCCCTACCCAGGTAACCACTATCCCAAATTTGGTGTTTATTCTTCCCATGATGCTTGTATGCTTCTACTCCATATTTAAGCATCTGCAATCAATTTTATATTGTTATATATGGTTTTAAACTTTATATAAATGCTAATCCATTGTGCATATAATTAAGGAGCTAGCTTTTCTTTAACTGAATAGCTTTTGAGATTTCACATTGTTAATATATTTCTTAGTCCAGTAATGTTGTTATGCCAAAATACCTGAGACTGGGGAATGTATAATGAAGAGAAATTCATTTTCTAATCATTCAGTATCCTGTGGAATTCAAGTTCAAATCACTAGCAGGTTCAATTGTCTGATGAGGGTTGCTCTCTGCCTCTAAAACCATGCCTTACTGCTGGGCCATTCAGAGGAGAGGAATACTGTTTTCTAGGGTGGGAGAAGGTGAAATGGAAAAAAGATGAACACTACATAAGGCTCCTTTAATAAGGGCCTTAACACAAGTAAGGAAGCCCCACAGTCTAATCACCTCTCAAGGGTCATCTTGATAGCATCGTATAGCTAGCTATTAAGTTTCAACATCTGAATTTTAAAGAATACTTATTCAAACAACAGCATCACATAAGGCCTTACTTCATTTATTTTAACCTCAGTTTTGTATTACACTATCTGAATATTTCACACATTTATTACTCATTTTTGTATGGATATTTAGATTATTTTCCATTTTATGTTCTGAGAAACATTGGTTCAGTAGACATTCTCATTTGTATATTCTTGTAAATGTGAGCAAGAATTCCTCTAAGGTTAGTAGAATTCTTAAGATATGAGAAGATTCAATTGTACCAAATACCACCAGTTTTCCAAAGTGGTTATATTAATGTATGCTCCCACTAGCAGTGCAGTAGAACTCAAATCACACCGCATCTTCATCTTCACGAACACTTAGTGTTGTCAGGCTTTAAATTTTTTGACAACCTGATGGGTGTGAAATGTTATCTCACTGTGGCTTTAATTTGAATTAATCTGATATTACTGGTCATTCCATTTTGTGTTTCTGCTAAACACACTTTTAGATTGGTGTGCTTTTTACTGATTTGTAATAGTTTTTTTTCTTTTATGTGTGTACATACACATGTTCATGTATGTGCAAGTGTACATATATGTGCAGGTATTTGTGAAAGCCAGAGGTCAACTTTGGGTATCATTCCTTGGGAGGCACCATCCACCTTGTTTTTTGAATTGGGGTCTCTCTCACTGTGCTGGGGCTCACTGATTAGACTAGGCTGGCTGGTCAGTGAACCCCAGGGATGCACTTGTCTCCACCCCCACCCCTGTACCAGGATTACAAGCATGCATCACCACTCCTGGCTTTTTCACATGGATCAAATTCAGGTCCTGATGCCTGCACAGCAAGTGCTTCACAAACTGAATATATATATCCCCAGGCCCTGAAAGTTCTGATATATTCTAGAAGCCAAACTTTTGTTAATTATGTGTGTTTTAAATAGTTTCTTCCTTGTATTTCTTTTGTTGTTGTCTGTTTGTAAAACTTTTAATATGGAGAAGTTTTAATTTTTACTATAGTCAAATGCATTTATCTTTATGATCGTACTTTCTGGATTATGTTACATTGCCCCTCTGTGTCCTTCTAGGACCATTTAAGATCTCCTTCACCACTGGTTTGACAGCTCACTCTCACCTTCCTTTGCGTGCAGTGTTTGTCATGGTGACATGTGCTTTTCACTATGGCCGTGATGACTTGGATGTGATTGGTCTGACATTCCACAAAGATCTCTATGCACAGGTCAAACAAGTGGTTCCAGCTGAACCCACCAGCATCCAGGGCCCTCTCACACTCTTACAGGAGCGACTTCTGCACAAACTCGGAGCCAATGCCTACCCTTTTACACTTGAGGTACTATCCCCAAGTCTTGAGCAAAGTTTCCAGAGAAGATTAAGAGATAAAGCTCAAGAAAGAGAACCAGAAGTCCTCCTATTTAATCAACCTCCTTTTGGTTTCCTAGATGGCTGCCAACCTGCCCTGTTCAGTGACACTGTAGCCAGGTCCTAAAGATTTGGGAAAGGTAAGGTCTAGGTTCTGAGAAAGACAATCTGCTAGTCAGCTTTCCACCAATGAGATCATGAACTTAAAAGGATGGGAGGCTATTTTTTGACTCATAGTTTCAATCTATGGTTGCAGGGCTTAGGTGCTTTGGGCCTGTGGCAACATATTACATCATGATGGGAGCATGTGACAGAAGGTCTTTTCATCTCATAGTGTCCAGGAAGCAAAAGGAGTATCAAGAAGTGCCTGTATCCAATGACCCACCTGTCTCCACCTCTCTGAAGAGACCTCAACTCTTAAATACTCTATAACCTCCCAGTAGAAAAATGGGCTAGGACCATACACAGGCATTTGGGCAAACTATAACAAACATGTAGGCATGTAGTTAACAATGGGGAGGAACAAAGGAAGAAAGACAAATGGGAAAGCCTAGATAAATGGACAGCTAAGGGATGAGCTCAGACATTTTTGTATAGGCCCCTAAGGAAGGGAGGAACAACACTGGAAATGAGTTCTCTTTGTCCTTGACTCTTTACAGCCCTGTGGGGTTGACTCTGAAGTGAAGAGTTTCTGTGCTGAAAATATGGAAGAGAAAATCCCTAAGAGGTATTCTTTGGTTCTCCCCAAATCCTTGCCTCAAGTCCCTTCCAGGAAACAGATCCTGCTCTTAGGACAGAAATAGACCTAATCACGATAGCACCATTGCCACCAATTCCAATGCCTTGTTCTGAGTTCCTCTGATTTTACTTCTTCACTCTAGGACATGGGTCAGCAGACATGTAAAGGGCCAAATGATAAATCTATACATTTCGTGGGCTATAAAGTATTGGTTGCAACTACTCAACTCTGCCACTATAGTCCCAGAGCAGTCACAGATACTATACAAATGGAAAACTGGTCCAGTTACAACAAAACTGGATTCGTGACCACTGAAATTTACATTTCAAATAATACCGATGTGTCACAGAATGTGGCTCTTTGATATATTTCAACCATTTACAAATGTAATCATCATTCTTAGATTGGAAGCCATAAGAAACAGGAAATAGGACAGATTTAGCCAGTGGACCATACTTTACAAACCCTTGTTCTAGATAGCATTGAGGAGCCAAAGAAGTTCTCCGAGGGAGGTCTTCTCCCACCTCCATCCCCAAGTAAGATGGAGTTATATAGGTGGCATGGGGAGGTGTGTGGTTCTAGAACGAGGTATTCTAGTTAATCCCTTGGCCTCTACTCAGTGATTCTGTGCAGCTGGTTGTGCAGAATGCAGTATTCATCCCTGGAACCAGGCTTTGGGCCCTGGGCCCAGACCATCCACTGCTTCTTTCTGTCATCTCAGCCCCTACGACTCCAGGTCTGGATGGACAGAGAGGTTGGTGACAACCTTCTCCCCACACGTCTTATTCTCTACCTCAACCCCTCTCATACCCTTTCTTTTCTGATTTCTTACTTAGATAGGCAGAGACGGGAGCCAGGGCAGCAACAGTTTTAAGGAGATAGGACTTCTAGATTTGGGTCTGGGAATTCTTCCTCCAACCTTGTCATAGTATTCTCCCGCTTCAGGTTCACTATCATGGAGAATCTATTTCTGCCCATGTTTCTATCAACAATTGTACCAGCAAGGTCATCAAAAGAATCAAGATTGCAGGTGAGCTTCTTATTGGCCCAAACCTGCCTCCAAATAACAGGTTCCTCAGCCCCACTTCTTACCCAGCTACATTCATCATGGCTTTTCCTCTGAGACAGGCTTACCAACATGTATGATCACATCTTACTATATCATGTATAAGGTACCTGTGTACAATGTCACATCAGAGGACAGAGACATGGGGTCATGAGGATGACTCACTGATTACAGTCATGTATTTTTATTGGCTTTTGCAGTTGACCAGATCACAGATGTTGTCCTGTATTCACTAGACAAGTACACAGAAGACTGTGTTCATTCAGGAGTTCACGTGAGCTGGTGTTGGGACTAGGGAGGGAGCTAAGGGGTGGGATGGTGGGAAAAAGGCCAAGAGGCAGGGAAGGGACTAGGAAAAAGAGGAAATAGGTGGGGAGAACCTAGAAATGAGGAAGGTCAAGGTGAGGGTTGAAGTATAGAAAGGGACTCTCAGGAGAACTAGAGGGATGGGACATGACTTAGAGGAAGACCATGTGCTAGGACAGGGATTTCCCAGCACAGCTAATTCTTCCCACTCTTTATAGCAAGACATATCATTTCTCTTTAGATATTCCACAATGTTCTTGAGACTGTGCAAGATACTCTTAGGAATGAAAAGACATTTGGTTGGCAAGCCTAACCTGAGTTCTTTTCTTCTTCTCTTTCAAAGAGAGACCGTAGCTGCTAACAGTAGCTTCTCCCAGAGCTTTACAGTAACCCCACTCCCGGATGCCAACTGCCAGAAGCAAGGCCTGGCACTGGATGGCAAACTCAAGCATGAAGACACCAAACTGGCCTCTAGCACAGTGTAAATTCATATATAACTTCCAACCACCACTTCCTACCCCATAACATTGATGTGCTATATGTATGGCTCCAAGGTTTCGTCTCCAGTCATCCTAGTTAACTTTTAAAGGGACCTCGCCAGTGTTCAGCAGTCTCCCAGGCCTTAGAGCCAGCTTCAAGCTAAATCAATGCCTATGGAGCTGATAGCAAGCTTCGGTCTTAGGTAATGAGAAAGGAAAATGCAGAGAGCAGAAAATCTTTATGCTATATAAATTTCACTTTTCAAGCCAGGCGTGGAGGTGCATGCTTATAACCCTGGCACTCAGGGATCAGCACTGAGGCAGGAGGATCACAATTCTGAGACCAGCCTGGGATACAGAGCAAGTCCCTGCCTCAAAAACAATACAAAACAAAACAAGACAGTCCACAAAGGTCTTATATATAATCTTTGTAAGAATTCCATTAAAGTACGCTAGACAGGTGGTTGGTTATTTTTGTTTTGGTCTGTTTTGTTGTTGTTGCTGTTGTCATTGTTGAAGGACTGAGGATGGAAATCAGGGCCTCACATCCCCAACTCTGAACAGGTATTCTTATTCCATTTTACATTTAGGACTCTGAGGCTCAAGGACAAGGAACTTGATGAAGATCCCATAACTAACCTAGGTAGACAGGATATGTCATCTGGCTCTGAACACCATGAACTATGCAGTAGCTGCACTCTAGAGAAAACAGAATGGAGTAGGTTAGGATATGAGAAGCAGGGGAAAAGGAGGGTGAAAGTGGAAATTATATGAGAGGAACTGATATAATTATATGCTGACATTCATGATGACATTAGTCCTATGCCTTCAGAGGCCCTAGCATTAGATGTGTTTCACCAAAGTCATCTGTCTACCATCTATAATCATAAATCCCGCCCAACTCTCGCCATGTCTTCAATCAAGTAAATACAGACTAATATTTCTAGAAACAGCCTTAGAAAGTATCCAAAGAGCTTTATTTTATAGAGATATCCCAAAGCAACAAAGAGACTATCCTAAGATCCCATAGCTTTCAGTGTCTTATTTTTCCATCAGGCTTTTATTGAACACCTGTTAAATACACATTCTTATGCTAAACAATGGGGGCATACAAAGAAATTTAAGACAATCTCTGGCTTTAGGCAATATATAGTCTAGATGAAGAACAAAGAGAAACACAAATATAATCCAACAGTTAAGTGTTAGTACATGTGGTTCATATTATGAGTCCAGTAGAAGTTTTAAAAAGCCAGCAGAGGTGGCAAGGGCTTCTTAGATAGAATTAGTTAGAACTTGAAGAATGTGTAAAATCTGGATATCAACAGTGAAAGAAAGGAACATTCCAGATTAGGAATATGGCATGGGAAGAAGCTAGAGGGTAGAAATTCACATGGCATTTGGGGGCGTACAATGGGACAATGAGCCCTCCTATGCTGTGCCCTACGTATTTGAGGGTGAGGGCAGAAAAGTTAGAGAAGGTAGGTGAGGCTTGATTGTTTGGGCTCCTGAAAATCAGAGTGGGATAGTCAATAAAGTAGGCTCTTGAACAGAAGATAACATAGTCAAACAGAATTTTAGGGGAAAAATGTGATCCTAGTGGACAGAGGAGATTAGAACCTGGGAGATCTTTTGGGAGAAGACAAAGGCAATTAGGGTGTGGTGAAGGAATCGGGGACTAAATTAAATTAAATTCTACTCCTAACACATAAAAATTGATGCTACAACTTCTAGTCTTCGGCCTGGAGTGGACAAAGAGCTTCTGGCGATCCTGGTGTCTTACAAAATTAGAGTCAACCTGATGGTATACCATGGAGGGTAAGTGAGGGTTTGGAGTTGGTCTGGGCAGCTAAGAGCAAAAAGCTTCTCATTTTTCTACCTGTTGGACTGATCAGTATATTCAAGGTGTTCCTTTTTTCCCAGATTTAAGTTCTCTGTGAGCTCAATGAACAAGTCACCTTCCTTCCAAATACCCATTCTGTTGCTAAGTTGGCTTTATGACCCCTCATCCTCCAGTAACACTGGGTTGCCCCTTCCCCATTTTCAGCTGCTAATTTGGGGTGTCATTCTATTCACAGCATCCTAGGAGGTCTGCCAGCCAGGTGAGAGACTGGGGTACAAGGACTGGAGCAAGAAGGGGAGGATGAGAGGATAAGGAGACCAAAAAGAGTGCCTGGGTAGAGTCTGAGGGCCCCCTAGCACTGGGAAAGTGAGGGAAGGAGACGCAGGGACTGGGTTTGTGAGGACATCAGTAACTCCACCTTGTGATACTTGCAGTGATGTTGGTGTGGAACTTCCCCTAACCCTGATTCATCCAAAGCCATCTCATGGTGAGAGACCAGGTAAGACTCCCAGGAACAATCATTCTGAGGGTTGGAGATGAAGCCGTTCTTGGAGATCAGCAGTTTGAGATGGAATGGTCATGGGCAGGTTGGAAGTCTGGGTTTTTAGGGGACGCATGCGGGAGGGAAACACCTGGAAAGGGAAGAGGTAGACTAAAGAAATTTCTCCAAGGAGCTGCAGAGCCTCTTGTCAGCCTCTTGTCTCCATTTCCCTCACTCTGCATGCTTGCCATGGTGGCTACCAGGTAAGTGACTATGAAACCTGGAAGCCTATCCCCCTCTCCCTATTGCTCTGTTTTATGATGGAAATAGTTTTTTCTAATCCTCAAAGTGTTGCTTTCAATATGTGTACAGTGGAAACATGTGGTTTAACTTTCTGTCATAGTTCAGTGCTTTCCACACCCCCCACCTGCTGCTTTTCTTGGAATTGTTCTTTCCCCTCATACCTTTCATTCCCATTTTTTACTTTTCCTCTTTCATTCCTTCCAAAGACCCATTTTGTTGCTAGGTTGGCCTTATGATCTCTCATCCCTTCTTCAAAACTGGGTTGTCCCTTCCTCATTTTAAGCTGCTGTTTTGGGGTAGTATTCTATCCACGGCATCCTTGCCTGCTTTCTTTCTCTAATTCCTTCTCTCCGTCCCACCCTCCATTGCTATTTCCCCTTTCAGAACTCCTGGGGCACAGTTGCTTTGGGAGATTTAGGAGGGACCAAAAGGATAGAAGCCAATGTGATCAATGGGGGGTGTGGGGGAGGGCTGAGAAACGGGGAAGGGATTGCTTCTCTGGAATCAGGGAAACAGAGTGAGGATGGAGCACGGAGAAAGTCCGGACAGGGTTTTCTAACCCTCCATTCCTCTCTGCTGCTTCTGCAAGCTCCGAGGACATAGAAGACTTATGCGGCAGGAACATTCCTGCCGAGACAGAGCGCCTGAAGGCTTTGGCGGCAACCGGAGTTGAAGGAAGCTGAATGCTTACCTCTGATAATCCTCTACAATGCTCTAATAAATCGTTTTGTCCAGACATGCCTGTACCTCTCCTTGCTATTTCCTTCCTCCAGAAGAACAATGGAACTAGAGAGAATGACCCACCCTGCTTCAGACCCTGTACTCCTCCCCTTCTCTAGCTCCTGCATTTAGATTACCCTTAGTAAGTGCTTTGCCCCCAGGTGGTTGCAGACTCACATCACCCAGTCACCCACCCTCCGAGGGTCCTTGTTTGCTCTCTGGCCATGGGGACCACCCTACTCTTGTGAACACCCCCAGCCCTAATAGCAAAAGGTGCTTGCACTGCAGGGAACCCCAGAGAGAAAGCCAAAGGGGTGTGGCTACTCCCAGACCCTACTGGGGAGAGCGCAGTGTGTGATGCTAGGAGACACAGGTTCGAATGCAGAAAGCCAGTGTCTCTCCACCTCCGCCTGCAAGGTTCAAAGTCTTTGGCCCTCCAGGGGCTAGGCCAGAAGCTGTGGCCTGGAAATCAGCAAGAAACACAAATGCCAAGCTCTGTGAAAATCCAGGTTCCTATTCCCAGGAGGGCAGAGGGGTGCAGATGTGGGCTGAGCTTTAAGAAGCTGTAAACAGTATGGAATGGGATGTGGAGTGTTGCTGCTTCTGGTGGAAGCAAGCACTTCTTGTTGAAAAATTCTGTTGCGTGTTGATGATGGGAAGGAGGTCTTAGAGACTACAAAGACAGGGTGATGATTGGCCTTTCCAAGAGACAAGTAATAAATGCATGGGTTGAAAGAGGTGATAATGTCACCAATTAAGAAGATAACAAGACTGATCTTAACAACAAATGGTGAGGTATTAACTATGAGGTCTAGCATACCTAAAGTTCAGTCCTTAAAGGAAGGGTCTACTGTGCTGTTTGCTTAGGGAGCTGGAGTTGGATCAGAAAGATCATGGGTTCAAAGCTTCTAGGGTTCCTGGCCCTAGGCAAGCATCATTTTACCTTAGCAAGATTTATGCTCATCCACTAACTCTTAAGCTTCCATTATCTGGCCACCTTTATTTCTCTCTGCCCAGACAGGTAACTGTCTGAAGAAGATGGTGAAGAATAATCTAGAGACTTCAATGTGATGTTTATTGAGGTCAGTGCCCAAACCAGGTGCAATATGAAAAACAGAAGAGCCACTTCTCTTTGTGTCCTTTGCACTGTCTCTAGCTATCCACCACCACCTACTCTTTTAGATGACCCTGAATTGTCCTATAGTGGAGAGGAGGCAAGGTTCATCTCACCACCGTGCAGCCCAAAAGCCCAGAACCACCTCAGCCTCTGAACCTTTTTAAAAACTTTCCTGCTACTATCCAATATACACTAAGGCAGCTATTCTGTCAGTTTCTCCCCTTCCTTCTAGAAGTTAATGTCACCTCTACTGCAGGAAGAAGGGGGTGTCTCTTTTCCCCTAGTTTTTCTGGAGTGGGGAGCATGCAAGCAGAAAAAGAAGTCTTTTCTTGCTGTTAATAGCCAGGCCAATGTTTCTGCTCAAGTGGTAATGTAAAATGGGACTAACTTCTACCAAAAATACCCCCTTGGTTTGCCTTTAAGTGAAGATCATGTGGTCGGAATTCATTTTTACTAGCTGACTCTTAAGAGTTGAGATTTGATTCACCACCTCAACTCTATTACCTTCCCCAACATAAACTTGAGTGGCTAAAAACCAACTTGAACTCTTGCAGGTTCAGGCATTAAAAGCTATTGTCACCATCCATAGCTTAGGCCATTGTTGCCTAATTTGGTAGACACTGTATTTGGGCTTTCTATATACTAGCTATTCTCCCAGTCCCTAGGTTTATACTTTTAATACTTGGCCACTTACTCTCTTCAAACTCCTGGATTTAGAAATAAAACAGAACTCGCCAAAGTGCTATCATTTTCTCCAACTACATCTCACAGCTACTGGGTGATACTGGTTAGCTCACCCTACCTTCTCTGGTCATTAAAAAAAACACATCTCTACAGTACGCAGTTCTACAGCAGCTGGGCTAAGCTCAAAAGCTAGTACAATTCTTTCTCCACTATTTTATTTTTTGAAGGCAGTGTCTTCCATAGCCCCAGCCGGCCTGGAACTCACCATGTAGACCAGGCTGGCCTCAATCTCACAGAGATTCACTGCCTCTGCCTCCTCATTGCTGGGATTAAAGGTGTGCGTCACCACTCCTTGTGTTTTATTATTATTATTATTATTATTATTATTATTATTATTATTTATGTGTGCGTGTCCCTGATTGTCTGCATACCATGTGCATGCAGGTGTCAGCAGAGGCTAAAAGAGGGCATTGGAACTCCTGGAACTGGAGTTATAGGGGGTGTGAGCCTGATGTGAGTGCTCGGAACCAAACCGGGGTCCTCTGCAAGAGCACCAAGTGCTCTTAACTGCTGAGCCATCTCTCCAGCCCCATCTCCACTGTTTTTTTTATATACACCCTCAATAAATAACTAGTTCTTCAGCCTGCTATTGCTTATGCCTTCTCCACATCATATTTATACCTCCACAGTTCAACTGCCTCCTCCTGATGCCACAAGAGCCATTCCAAGCATCTAAAAGGGAAACCCAATTTAGGACAGAATATTTTGCCTCGCAGGCTCATCATACATGGCTGGAACTTTTAAAAACATTTTATTTTTGTGTGTATGGATATTTTGCCTGCACATATGTATGTATACTACATGTGCACAGTGCCCACAGGCCAGAAGAGAGTAAGGGATCCCCTGAAACTAGTTATGGCTGGTTAATTGCAATGTAGGTGCTAGGAACCAAACCCGAGTCCTCTGCAAGAGCAGCAAATGCTTTTAACCACTGAGCCGTCACTTTAGCCCAATGGCTGGAACTTTTGACTATGTCAATCATACTTCTTAGGTGAGTTATTTTACTACATTTATTGTGTGTGTGCCCACATACATATGTGGGTACATGTGTGCTATGCATTCATGTGGAGATAAGCGAACAACTTGCAGGAGTCTGTTCTCTGCTCCCATCATCTGGGTCCTAGGGACTGAACTCAGGTCATCAGGCTTGGCAGCAAGTGCCTTCACCTGCTGAGTCATCTAACTGGCCCAGATAAATAGTTTTTAAAAATCTGTTAATTGGAGGTTGCTGTTGGATCTCCTATTCCAGCTTTCCCTGCTTCAAGTGGCCAACATTACTAAACACTGTTTCACCTCAAATCCATCTAAATGTGTCTCTCTACCAAACCTGGAAGAATCTTTATTTAAAACAAGAACCACATTATTAAAATTGAAATAGTGAATACCTGTGAACCTCTTCCACCTAAGAGCAAGATCTTTCCCAGTAACTTGTATCTCCGGGAGGCTTTCCCCTAGCTCATCATCATCCAAAGATTTTGAGCAGTCAGCCACAGGTTTGGTGTGTTCATGATTATAACGGTCATGTCATATCCAGAAGACAGTGTTTCACACACAGCTCTGCTTCTATCCTCCAGCTCTTAAAATGTTTCCATTCCCTCTTCCTTAATGTTCCCTGGGCCTTGGAGAGGGCATCAAATTTTTAATACTGTTAATAGAATGAGTGTTGAATAAATGGTGAGGAAGAAAAAAACTTGTTGACTGGGATCTGGGGAGATGGCTCAGCACAAGCATGAGGACCTGGGGTTGAATCCCAAAACCCACTCCAAAATGCTAGATGTGGTGCCCACTTGTAATCTCAGTACTAAGGAAAGGAGATTCCCTGGGGTTTGCTTTCCAGACAGTCTATGCGAATGAGGAAGATTCAGGTTCAGTGAGAGACCCTGTCTGCAAAAATAAGGTGGAAGGGGCTGGAGAGACGGCTCACTGGTTAAGAGCACTCACTGCTCTTGCTGAGGTCACAGATTCAGTCTTCAGCCCCCACATGGCAGCTAACACCTCTCCTTAACTCCAGTTCCAGGGCATCCTACACCCTCTTCTGCCCTCCACAGGCACCAGGCATGCACATGCAGCACTTATATACAGGCAGACAAAACACTCATCCACATAAAAACAATAGTTAAAAAAATAAGGTGGGAAGTGATTGAAGAGATACCTGAGGTCAACCCCAGGCCTCCATACGTATGCACACACACAACAATAAAAATACATTTAAAATAAAACTGATTAACCATAGCTGGGTGCAGTGGTGCACACTTGTAATCTCAGAACTTGGGAGGTTGAAGTGGGAGGATTGAGTTCAAGACCAGCTTGGACTATGTAGCAAGACGCTGTCTCAAATAAAAAAACACTAAAATCATTAACCATAGGGAGTCTTAGACCTTAGTAGATTCAGCAAATATGGTTTTGTGGAAATATCCAAGCCTTTTTTTCCCAGATGGCCACTGCGGGTCAGCAGAGCAAATAAGAGCATAGATTTCCCAGGAGGAGAGTTAAATTAATTCTATTAAAAGACAGTCCCAACTAGCAATGGCACTGAGTTTCTAGACAATCACTTAGTAGAGCTTGAGTGCAAAATATGGGATAAGACAGTTTCCACATAAATTTCTCTCTTCAGTCTACTTTAAAACTTTTTTCACCTTGCTTAAAAATTCAGATTTCAGGTCGCATCTGATGGCACATGCCTTTATATCCAGCATTAGGAGGCAGAGGCAGGTCGATCTCTCTGAGATTGAGGCCAGCCTGGTCTACATAGTTAGTTCCAGGCCTGCTGGGGCTACAGGGAGACCTTGCGTCAAAAAAACAAAAAAAGAAAAATTCAGATTTTAGGCTCTACCTTAACCAACAGAACCAATCTACAGAAAAAAAAAAAAAACTAGATAAACCTTCTTCAACTTCCTAGGATTCGTGTGTGTGTGTGTGCACACTCACGTGCTACAGAGTTTGAAGGTTAGAGGAAAACTGGCAGGAGTTGGTTCTCTCTTTCTACCATGTGTCCCAGGTCTTAAACTCAGGTCCTCCGGATTGGAAGTAGGCGCCTTTCATCCACTGAGCCACCTTACCAGCCCTCCCCAAGATTCTTTTAAGGCAAATCTGGGCTTTCATTACAGGTGAACTTTGCTCCCCCATCCACAAAACCTTTAAATTCTAAATGGGTATTTTGAATACACCAGTGGAGATGGCATAGGTATGACCTGGAATCTGATGATGAATCAGTAGTTCAAAATATCTAAGATGGTAGAAAGTTATTTGGGGCTGGAGTCAGAAAAAGGAGAGCTGGCAGTTAGCACTACTCAAATTACAAGTTAGAAATTAGGAACTAATTTCCTACTGTTGCTTGTTAAAAGAAATGCATCTAGGCCACTTGCTTGGTTTAAGTTCCAAATCAGAATCTGGGAAAGAAGAAATACATTAACATCATCCCCTGCAGCAAAATGTCCGAAGTTCCTAGAGGAAGGGGCAGCTTTTCCAGTGCCCTTTACCCTATGCCATCCCTTAGTCATTCTGTGGCTAAGGTTCTTTAACCTCTCAAATATCTTGGTCAGACACAGATAGTTGTGAATTAGGTAGGGAGTTGATGTTTCTTCCAGTGTTTTTTCCCCTTGCCTCAATGGTACTTATATCCAACCAGTAGCATTCAAGTCACATTTATTCAGTACTTGTTACACTTTGGGGAAATGAGGAGGAAGGGTCAAAAATAGTGTCTCTTTGGAGTCTTCAAAGTATAATGGGACTTCAGATAGTACAAGGATTGGATGACATGGCCAGGCAAATCAGATGGAAGGTTTTCAAGATTCTTTTTTCTATTGATTTCTACAAAAAAAAATGATAAACTGTGTAAGTGATTAGTCTATGGTACTCAATAAATGTCAGTTGCCTTCTAGCTAGGTTCCCCACAGGCCACAGTATATCTAGACATTACCATCTTTCTTTCAGAGATGAAACTCACCCAGAAATCTAGGGAACACAAAGTACAGTACAGTTTGTGTAATGCAGCTAGTGAGATACTTCTCCATCCTCCCCACCCACTAAGCCAGGGATGAGCTGACAGAATTTCCCAAATGATTTCCCCAGGGGCTAGCCAGCTTGCCCTGGCAGATTCCACATGGAGGGCTGTAGCCTGCAAATCTTTAGTGCACAGTCCTCTCTTTTTGGCGATGATAATCTGGGTAAGAAAGAAAGATAAGAACACAACACATTATTTTCAGGCCTGAATTACCAACATCCCACCCCTAACTTCTGGGGCTTATAGTTATCAGTATTTTAAAAGAGTTCTAGTGACCTAGGGCCTTACCAACTAAATTTAAAAAAAAAAGAGTATCAGGGCCTGGAGAGATGGCTCAGCACTTAAGAGCACTGGCTACTCTTGCAAAGGACCCAGGTTCAGTTCCCAGCACCTACATGGCAGCTAACAACCAACCACCTGTAACTCCAGTTCCAGGGTATCCGACCCCTCTTCTGATCTCCACAGGCATTTCACAAGGGCACACCTACCCACATGCAAGCAATACACTCATAAAAAATAAAAATAATAAATATCTAAACAATAAGAAAAGAAAGTGTCTTACTGTAGGGAAAGAAGCGTACACGCATGCTGATTTCACGGGCTGTCTTCAGGATCTCAACAGCCTGGAAGGAAGATAGCAGCTTGTAAAAATGTAGAGGTATTACCCAGGATAGACTCGTTACAAAGGAATGGAATATGCCACTTCAAACATCTAGGTCACTGATAGCTGCTCTTCTCTGGTACTTTGAGATGCTTTCTCATCAAGTGACAAATTAGGCTAATCCTGTCCAACCTGTCCTACCTGAGATGGCTACTTACATGACCACAGCCCATGTGCCTAGGCTTACTTTGCTATGCTCAATATCTTGGAAATCCACATCATTCACAGCTAGAACTTGGTCCCCTTCTTGAAGTCCTGCTCGATGTGCATCAGAATCTGGAATCACCTGTTGGTAAAGGGGGACTACATGTAATTGAGATGGGATAATTTCATTAGATTATATGTGAAATTCAGGTTTATTCAAATGTGTTACTGTTTTACTGTGACACTACAAGGAGACAAGTGGCTTGCCAAACGGAATTCTTTTTTGTTTTTTAGCTTTATAGGCCTGATCCTCCTACCTATGCCTCTGGAATTCTGGGATTATAGGCATGCCCACCCCTCCCAAAGCCCCAGCCCAAATGCCACATTTTGAGAAGGAAAGGGTGAGTTCCCACTATGCCCATTCTATGACTTCAGAGACATAAGGGCACTTCAATATGATAACAAAGGGAAGTAGTGATCCATACAGCCTACCACATACACACACACAGACCTTCGAGATGAAGATGCCTAGCTGGGAGGCCTTTCCTCCTCGGATGTTAAATCCCAACTGTAAGACAAGAGCACAGAATGAGGGCTCAGAATAGACCAATAAACCCAAGAACATTTAGGAGCATCCATGTACAGTAGCTCAGAGGAAATGAAACTCTAAGAAAGTGGCATTTCAGCTTTAATGGCCACCTACTTCCCAGTCCACACCTATGCCCCAACTACAGCCAAACTCTGGCTTAGAGAAAATAAGCGCCTCTATAAGTTCACCTGAGCACCAGGAGGCTTCTTCAGTGTGACGATTCGGGGCAGAAACTGGGTCAACTCATTGTTGTAGTCTGGGTGGTACACTCTCTGCAAGATGCAGCAATGTCAGTAATCTCACTACCAGTCTTAAGATATCACATCTACCTTCTTCTGGAACACTAATGCATGAACTATATGTCCTGAAGAGGTGAAGTCCTACACTTAGTTTAAGGAAAACAGGTAACACTGTCTAAATGAGGTGATGCTTAGCCTCAGGACATGCTAGCAGCCCCATAGCTGTTTTCCTTTACTTCTTGACAGAATGGAGACTGAGGCTCTGAATTTTCAGAATTTACTTGTGTGAAAGATTTTGGCAGAAGGATTCCACAAGAAGTTTCCAATGGGTCCTTGTTGCTCAGAACTCAGCTTCTGGGTCCTCTGGCTAGAAAACAGTGCTAAGATTCATTCCATTAAGCTTTCTAACCCTGCTATCCTACCTTTTACAGATCTCAAGCTTGGGGAGTGGGCTTTCCTTATTCCGGAACACAGATTCTCACCTCATGAGGGGGAATCCAAGCTGGAGGATTCTCATAGGCAGGCAGGAAAACCACTGGGTAGTCATCATAAGGAATGCGGCTGTCCATTTCAGGCAAAGCCCTGGAGTGGTTGAATCAAAGCAAATAAAAGTGATTCAAAGGGACCTAGCTCAGCAAGTTTCAGAAAGCAGCTCGAATCCATCTCAAGGCTATCGGTTTACGAGTTTAGGCCACATAAAAGGTGCTAAATCTGGAGGAGAAAAGTTAGGGGGGCAGGGGGAAGGGAAAATAGATTTTCTAAATATCTAGATGCCTGGCAACTTGTTAGGAACTCTAGAGACATGATCTCATTTCTCACACTCCTACAAAACAGGTGTCCCCGTATTCATCCTGGAGAAGAGGAAGTTAAGAGTCACATCTACAAAGATCTACTTTCAAACAGCGAGGGAGTGCCAACTCCAACTATCAAATAGGACCTGGGGCCAGGCGCCGAGGTGCTTAGTAGCGGCGGCGTCCACAGATGAACTCTTCCGTCAGCCAGCACCAGCCACCCTCCAGATCCCTGTCCCCGGGTACCGCGCTCACGACCACTTAAACTTCGCACTACCTCACTAGCAGACAGGCGTCCCGGAGCGGCGTCTCGGCTCACAGCCAAATCAGCCTGGGAACCGGAAGCGGATACTCGCTAGAGCTGCGTAGGGGCGGAGCCGGGCTCCGGCGTAGGCGTGCGCATTCGCCTTCTCTTCCCTACGTCATTTTGTGCGCGCTCGGCTGGCAGGCTTGGTGCGTTCCGATTGGCTGGCGCCCCTGGGGCCGATTTGAAACTTGGCGGTTAAAGCTCCAGTTGGAGCAGGGCGCAGGGGAAGAAGGGGAAAGGGACATTTAGTTTGGTGAGTTACGGGCGCTCGTTAGCTCTGATTCTGACTTTCCCGCTCCCCGGGGGGCTTTGGTTCTTTGCCGCCGTCTCCGCTGGAGGGTTTTTAAAATTTTTTTAAATTTTTATTTCAGACAACACTTCGCCCTTCGCTGTCGGGACTGACAGGCCGTTCGGTCTCGGCCGAGTGTGAGAGCGATCACAGACCGCGATCCCGCTGGGAGGTGGGCTACCAACACGACCAGAGAGTTACGAGGCTTCCCACCCTGCGAGCCTTCCCAACCCTGCCGGCTTCCCGAGCCTCCCACCTAGCCGGGCTTTGCTTTCCGCGACACCTGCTGAGCAAAGATCATGAAAGAAGAAGTGAAGGGAATTCCAGTAAGAGTGGCACTGCGCTGTCGCCCTCTGGTCGCTAAGGAGATTAGTGAGGGCTGCCAGATGTGCCTTTCCTTTGTGCCTGGAGAGCCTCAGGTGCGTAGCCGAGTCCGGAGCGACGCCCTCTCTACAGCTGGGGACCAATAGCAATGAGGGGCGTGGTCTGGCCATTTTTTTTCTTCCCTGAAGCCTTGTCTCTCTTACCTTTTGCAGGTGGTGGTTGGCACTGATAAATCCTTTACCTACGATTTCGTATTTGACCCCTCCACTGAACAGGAAGAGGTCTTTAAAACAGCAGTAGCGCCACTCATAAAAGGCATATTTAAAGGTGAGGCAATTCACTGCCAGGTTTTTGAGCATATGCTATGTATCAGACACAGACACTGCAAATACAGGAATGGATGAAACACGATTCCTGCTTCTAAAAAGCCCACAGCCTAGGAACATTTGTGACAGTCACTTTACCCTGAAAGCTAATTTTGTACTGTATGTGAATTCTATTCTATTTAATCTTTGACCTGTACATATTTGTTGTTGACTCGGACCTCATTAGAGTGTAAGGTCTTTTTGGGGTGCTGATAGTGGTCAGTGAGCCAACCTGCTGGAGTCCCAGGCCTCAGTATTCATTCAGATAAATAGTATAGCTTCTGGGCCCTGAAGGAGTTCAAAGTCCAGAGAATAAGATAAGTAGGTGACTACATAAGTAAGTTTGAATATGTAAAAACAAAATTAATTTGTTGCACTTTTTCTTTTGAGATGGTTGCAACTATGTAGACCTGACTGGGCTGGAACTATCCCCTGCCTCTGCTTCCCTACTGCTGGGATTAAAGGCTTGTGCCACTGTGCCTGGTTATTGCACCTTTTTGGCTTGGAACTCACATGTAGACCAGGCTGGCCTTGAACTCACAGAGATCCACCTGCCTCTGACTCCCAAGTGCTGGAATCAAAGGCGTGCGCCACCATGCCTGGCCATTGCACCTATTTTTTAAAAATTTTTTTCTTTTGTGTGTGGTTGTTTATTTGACCCAGGATCTTCCTACCCAGGCTAGCCTTAAACTCACCATGTACCCAAGAACATACAGATCCTCCTGCTTCCACTTCCCAAGTGTTGGGATTTCAAATGTGTACCAGCATACCTGGCTCCCAATAAATGTTAAAAGTTAAAAATATGTAATAATCACACTACTTTCATACTAAATGGTATGAAAAACAAAAGGGTGGCACTAACTCTGCTTTGGGGAGTTCAGGTCAATTTCTTAAAATAGGAAAAGTTTGAGATAGATCTTGAATGATAAATAGAATTCTCCCAATGGAGGGTATTTCCAAAAGCCCTTGATTGCAATGGTCAATTCATAATCATTGCAGAAGCTAACGTTTTAGTGTGGAAGACCATAGCAGGATTCTAAAGTTAAGACAGTAGCACCTGAAAGGTGTCTAATTGTTGTTCTAAATTTTTCTTTTTTCTTTTTTTATTGAGAATTTCATATATAAGAGTATATTTTGATCAAAACCCTCCAATTCTTCCCCTATCTCCTCCACTTTTTCAATTTCACATGCTTTTGTTTTTTTAAAACCCACTGAGTCCATTTACTTTATGTGCATGTGTGTAGGGCCATCTACTGGAGCATGGATAGCCTCTCAAGGGTTGCATCCCTGAGGAAAACTGATGGTACCTCCCAGCAGCCATCAGTTGCCAATAGCTAGCTCCTCAGGTGTGTATGGGGTGGGCAGCTTCATTAGCTCCTCCTGGATCCCTATTGGGATTTTGGCTAGCTTGATTTTGTGCAAATTTCAAAACATATTCGTTAAAAAATTAGAACCAGCCGGGCGTGGTGGCGCACCCCTTTAATCCTAGCACTCCAGAGGCAGAGGCAGGCAGATCTCTGTGAGTTCAAGGCCAGCCTCGTCTACATAGTGAGTTCCAGACCTGCTGGTGCTACAGGGAGATCCTGTCTCAAAAAGACAAAAAAAAAATTAGAACCAAAAGGCATCAAGATGGCTCAATGACTAAAGGTACTTACTGCCAAGACTGACAACTGGAGTTCAGTCCCCGGGACCCACATGGTAGAAGGAGATAATTGACTTCAGCAAGCTGTCCTCTGACTTCCACAAGGTAGCCACGTCACATATATTCAGACATATATACACAACACATACACAAAAAAATAAATAAAAATGTAAAACAATTAGAACCATGGCAAACAAGTGCTTTTAAGTTACAAAGTACATTGTGTATGCTCCAGCTTAACTTTTTATCCAAAGACAAATGCTTTCTAGCAATTAGATGAACTTCCAGTGTCTTGTTTATGGCAGTGTCTCATATAGTTCAGGCTGGCCTGGAACTTGATATGTAGCAGGAGTGGGCCTTTAGCTCCTGATCCTTCTGCCTTCACCTCTAGAGTGCTGGGATTATCTATGCACTTACCACATCTGAATCTAGTGTCTATTTAAATTTTTTTCTTTGCTGGGAAAGTCACTGAATCATAGGGTAGCCCACTTGATAATTGCTTTCTTTTGGACAGGTCTTAATTTTTTGCGTGTATTTATTTCCTGAGCCTGTGTTACAGCATGTGTGGGGGTTGAGGGTCAGAGGACAGTTTACAGGAGTTGGTTTTCACCTTCTACTATGTGGTCTCAGGGATTGACATTTACCTGCTGACCTATCTCACCAGCCCCTGGATAACTTTAATTATGTTACAAAGATCTCAATACTGAGAAGAAATTTATTTCCCAGCAATTTCTACTCAGTGATATTAGTTCATCACTCTAGATAAACTAAAGCCTTTTTAAAAAATTTTTATTTATTTATTTTTTATTTTATGTGTATGTATAGATTGCCTGCATGTAGGTAAGTGCACCCGTGTCATGCAGTGCCTGTGAGGTCAGAAGAGGCTGTCGGATCCCCTGGGACTGGAGTTATAGACAGTTGCTAGCTGCCATGTGGGTGCTGGGATTTGAACCTCGGTCTTCTGCAAGAACAACCAGTGTTCTTAACCACTGAGCCATCTCTCCAGCCCCTAAACTGAAGCCTTTTAAGCAACAACTATTCATATATATTCATCCTTTAAGAATGATGTCATGGGGGCTGGAGAGATGGCTCAGTGGTTAAGAGCACTTGCTGCTCTTCCAGAGAACCTGAGTTTGGTTCCTAGTACTCGTATCAGGTGGCCCATAGTTGCCTGTGACCCCAAGTCCAAGGGATTGGAAGCCCTCTTCTGGTCTCAAACACACATAAACACACACACACACACACACACACACACACACACACACAGAGAGACAGAGAGACTTTTTTAAGGCCGTGTCTTTAAGGCCTTAAAAAAGACTTAGGGCTGGCAAGATGGCGTGGTGGGTAAAGGTGCCTGGTGCCAAGCCTAGCCTAATGACCCGAGTTCAATCCTTAGGACCCACATGGTAGAAGAGAGAACCAACCCCATAAGTTGGTCTCTGACACACACACACATGCATATACATACATGCATATAAAATAAATAAGTAAATATATATTTTAAAAAGATTAGAATAGATTCAGGGCTGGAGAGATGATTCAGTGGTTAAAAATGCTAACTGCTTCGCAGAGGACTTGGGTTTGGTTCCCAGTACCCACATTGGGTGGCTCACAACCACATGTAACTCCAGTTCTAGGGGATCCCATGCCCTTTGGCCTCCTTGGGCACCTGTGTGCAAGTGTTACACAAATACTCACATAGGTGCACATATAAATAAAAACTAATAATCTTTAAAAAATGATGCCATGACTTAGGGCACATTGAACATCTTTGTGTGTGTGGTGTATGTACACGTGTGTGCATGTATGCTAGCATATACATGTACATGTAGAGGCCAGAGGTCAACATGAGGTATCTTTTATTGATCTCCACCTTGTTTTTTGAAACAGAATCTCTTACTGAACTGTTTTGGCTAAACTGACTGGGCAACAATCCCCAGGAGCCACCTGTCTCTCCCCTCCCAGTGCTATCCATGTAAACAGATAGACACTACCGTGCCCATCTTTTACTTGGGTACTGGATACCTGAATTCAGGTGCTTATGCTTGAATAGCAAGCACTTTACCCACTGATCCATCTCCCTAGCCTCTTTTATTTATTTTTAATTTTTTTTAAATATTTATTTCGTGTGCATATATGTGTCCATGTATGCATGTGTTGTAATTCACATGTGAAGGTGAGAGGACAGTCTGCAGGAATCAATTCTTCCACTATGTGAGTTCAAGCCCAACTCAGGTTGTTGGGCTTGACAGCAAGTGCTGTTACCTACCCAGCCATCTTTGCTGGCCCTGGCTGCCTCCCCTGCCCCCCCCCCTTTTTTTTAAAGACTGGGTCTCTTGTAGCTCAGGCTGGCCT